GATTTGTCTTAAGTATTTTTATTGTGTTCTTACCCATGCCACGTCTGGCTCGGCAGTTGGCCGAACCTCGACAGTTACAGTCTGTCCAGTCTTTCCTCTTTTCCCCCCACTTCCAAAATTCTGGCTGCTGGCTGTATCTCGTTCTCGATGAGTTTGGTTTTTGGGGTCTCCTGAATTGAATTATAGTCGAGAGAGCTGATGCTTCTTTTTCGAAAAAGGGGCTGCATTTGTTCAGAAGGCAGAGGTTTAAACAGGATGCAAACTTGCATCCATATTATGTATATATATCATATGTGTATAATATTATGTGTGTGTATATATATAATATGTATATGTTTTAAGAAGCCAACAAATGCTACTGTTTTGCCTCCCCCAAAATGTGCCAGGATTGAGCTGAGCTTTGCTGCTTTGTACTTCAATTTGAAAGGTTCTAATTTGCTTTCCTTTCCTAATTGTTTCTGCGTGCCTGATCCCTGTGAATACTCATTGCGAATGTGCCCTAAATGACTGCTTTTTTTTAAAAAAGAACATTTTAATCTGTTTGCAAGAATTCCCGTACCTGTGCGGCAGCATAAGTTTTTTTTTGTGTAAAAGCTTTCCAGGTATTTCCCCAAATTATTAACCTTGAACACCATGCATAACATAATACACAGTAATTGTGTACATCTATTCGGTCGTAGTTTGATTTTAATCTCGTTCACATTCAAACTGTCTGAGTTACTGCTTCTATTGTGTTTGGTAAAATGGTGAAAACAAAAGTCAACTAAAGTGGAACTGACATTGTGTTGGATGAATTGATAGTTTCTGCTTTAGTTTTCATCTACTGAGACAATGCAATAAGTATTGGCCCACAAAATATATAGTCAATTCATTTTACAGTAAATTCTGTGAAGCGCTTTGAGACATCTCAACGACGTGGTAAGGCGCTTTATCAAATACAATGATTATTATCATTAAAAGTAATATAATATGACTTGCTGTACCCATCGTTGCTTTGCTCTTTGTCTCTTTAGGCTGGTATTGGGGAGCGCTCACATCCCTTGAAGCAAGACAAATTCTTAATCAGACCACTGAAGGCACATTTCTCATCCGGGATAGCTCGAACCCGGAATACCTGCTGACTCTTTCAGTCAAAACCAGTTCAGGACCTGCACACCTCCGCATCGAGTACAATGAGGGGAAATTTGGCTTTGATTCGGTGGTTTTGGCGAGACCAAAGCTCAGAAACTTTGAAGACGTTGTGGATCTTGTTCAGCATTACGTTTTGCTGTCCAAGACCACCCAAAGTGCGCACGAGCAGTCAATCTCACCTGTGACCAAAGACCCAGTCATTCACCTGAAACTGACCAAACCATTGTACATTACAACGCCCTCCTTGCAGCATCTCTGTAGGATCATAATCAACAAGACGACCAAGAAGACCCAAGAGCTTCCACTACCTTCTCGACTAAAGGAATATTTATTAGAATACCCCTTCCGTCTGTAAATCCGTTTGTGTGTCCCAGTTGACCAATATAAATTGCTATATAAAATGCGTGTGGGCAGTCAATCCAGGGAACCCGTCCTATCTAGAAAACGACCAGCTTTATCCGCTAAAACTGAGATGCAGTGGAATTCTGTAAAGATGTGGACTGGAGACAAATGTACCAATTTTTATATTTTTGGTTAATTTAATGTACAAACAAATGTTTGTCATTTTCTCAGTAAAAACAAATCATTTACACTTTTTTTGGAAGGGGTGGGGTTTGCTGTTTTTAAACTTTGTGTGCCGTGTTTGAGAAGGAACCTGCATTTTTGTAGATCCTCATCATCTCAAAATGCTTACCAAGTAATTGCTGTTAAGTGTAGTGACTGTTTTTGTAGGCGAACACGACAGGCATTTGCACAAGCAAAGTCCGAGAAGCATTCTCGGATTACAAAGGATGGTTTCACGACAGATACCAGGAAGGTTTTCTCTTCCCAGAAGGTAATTAACGGCCGGAACAGGAAGCATGGTCGAAGCTGGAGGCCGGACTCTATTTTAAAACAAAACATTTTGATTCTGTGATGGGAGAACAGTGAAGTGCCTGTTCCACAGTGATGAGATCAGATAGGATCCAAGGGTTGTCTTCATTCAAATTGATCTTGTGATCTTTTGATACACGAGCTGAATGACCAATTGTGTTGTATTACACAGGCATATTGTTGATGTGGATTACACTGTATATGGAATTGTTGGTGCCCGATGTAGAATGATGAGTGATTGGAGAGTGCTCAGATACCTGGCGACTGCGGTTATTCATGAGCGTGGAGAAGCGAGGAAATTGGGATTAAAAGAAAATGCTTGACCGTTTCAAATGTATTTTAAGTGCATTTTGAAATATCCAAGCAACTTTCTGAATTTTACTGTTATTTGTGAATCTATTTCGATATATTAAATTATTCAAACTGAAATGATACTCTGCTGTAACCCCAAAGTATGCGAGATCTAATATTTGGGTAGGTAACAGCTACTGTATATTTTTTTATTATATCTTAACACGCGTGTTTTTAAACATAAAAAGGCAATATCTGGCTACTTACAATTTGTATTCTTCCTGGGTGCCATCTGAATCACAAAAGAATAATTAACTTGAAGAGTTACATGTTTACTGTGGATTTAGATAATTTGGCAATGAAACATTGCTCTAAAATTGTTTGTTTAGGCAGCACGGTAATTAATGGGGAGGAGGGAATTACCAGATGGCACTGTTAGTGTACATTGGAATCTCTGTTCCTTCTTGTTATGCTGGCCTCCTTTATTCTGTATGTTAAAAAAATATATAGGTTATATACAGGACTCCTTTGACCTGTCAAAGTTGGTGCTTGTTATATTAAGGATCGTACCGAATTTTTTTAAAAAAGACTTAATTGCCAATCCATTGTAAGACAGTTTTTTTTTTAAAAAAGCAATGCTCACTCTCTTGGCATTTTGTTCTAGAGCTTGTGTGTGTGTATGTGTATATTTAATACTATCTCTGTGTATTCCTAGCAACAATCTCAGGCAGTTTAAGTGGTTAACGTTTGACACTTTGCCACTTTTCTATTTTTGACTGTACCATCTGCAATGTAACCAGAGGAATTTCAAATTGTATTTGGGCATTTAATAAAGGTTTTTTTTCCGGTCTGGCTTAAGCAAAGGGATGATGGTAACTCCAATGTTTGGGTGCTGTTCGGCTATTGTAGAGATTGGATTCTCTTAATTTACAGTGAAGTTCTGGATTATCCCTGACACATCAGAAAGCTGCTAATGTCATTAAATTACAGCCTTTGAACAACTATTGTGCATTTTGCTTGTGTGTTTTTAGTGTTTCAGTCACACGTATAAAGACTTCACGTGATAATACAGTGAAACTCACATAAATAGAATCAGTCCTGGACATTAACATTTAAATGACTCATGTGAATTCCAAGTTGCAGGTAAACTGTATAAACTATATAATATCAAATGTAATCAATAATCTACTTTGAATATGTATAATTCAAAGCAGCCAGTAATAGTGGGAGTAACAATAGCAATGATCCTTGCATTTGATACAGTGCTTTATCACATCATTGAGCAGTCTCAAAACGCTTCACAGAATATACTGTAAAGTAATGGAGGATACTGGAGGCATTACGAGTTAGGTGATTAATACGTCTGGTACAAGTGATTTTGATCAGAAACTGAATGGGATTCCGGTGAACGTACAATTTAGATGATTATACAATTTCTAAAGAAGCCTTATGCAAATTTTACGGCAGTAATAAATAAACTTTGCATTTCATATAGCTTCTTGTGTTCTCAAGATATCTCAAAACTCTTCACAGGATTTTACTGTAATATGTAGTGACAGTGTTTGTAGCCAGAAGAGGCAGACAGTTTGCATACGCAGCAATGTCCCACAAACAGACATGAAATGAATTTATGCTTAAGAAAATGCCAGTTGGAAGACTTTCGTAGAACTAAGCAGTAATTAAATTTTGTGTGCATTTTTCCATGAATCCCTGTTACATTGAGAAAATCTATTCGTACCTTGCATTTATACAGTGTCTTTCATATAAACTAATATCCTGAATCACTCCCCAAAATAAAGCGATTAGAACTGAAAGTGAATTTTACTTTAGGCAAACACAGCAAGAACGGGACGATTTAGTACTGAGAAGCCTCTGTGTATTGCGATTTATCGCCTTTATTATAACCATAGGCACAATATATGGTACACACAAGAGAATTGGGAACTAAATTAAAGCATTCCTTAACTTAATGGTGACATGAACTAATAATAATCCTTGCATTTGATATAGCCCCTTATCACGTCTTTGAGACGTCTCAAAGCGCTTCACAAATATATTGTAAAGTGAATTGAGTGTATTTTGTGGGCGAAACACAGCTAAGTGAGTTGAGCACAGCTTTCACAATTTTTCCCTAACTTGCACAAAAAGAAATGTTGAACTTGGAAGAAATGTTAGAGGAACAAAAGCAATTGTAACAGAAAATATACCTGGAGGACGACAAAGTAGAGACATCTGCCAGACGCTAAGTATTGGATTCCAATGGCAATTAAGATGAAGTGAAGTTGTAAGTGCTAAGATTCATTGGCATGAAGAAGGTAAGAGAACAAAACCATGAACTTTGACCCAAGAAAAGAAAGGCCAAACAAAATACAGTGTTACATAATATGGGATGGAAATGGTGAAAATCGCTCAACATTCCATTGTCAAAAAGGGTTTAATTAATAGAAAGATATGTGGATAATTAATGATTATTTCTAAAGAGAAAAATAAGGCTTGTTCCAAAGGTGAGGGATATCACAGTCCGAAGTGATGAGAATTTGAGTGGGGTTTGGAGAGTAATTTAGCTTGGGGTTCACTTGGAAAATATGAGCAGGGTTCTTTACTTCAGCAACCAGCGTGGGAAAATTTGGGAGATTTGTAAGTAATTGTCCAGTGTTTTCAAGTAGAACGTTTGTAAAGGGGAGTACTAATATTCCCAGTACAAAACACGAGCAGTCAAGTGGTTTCATTTCAACTGAATTCGGAGGTGACAGTAAGAAAAGGTAAGCATGACTTTCAGCCGGTTGATGATCTGGAGGAGATTCCAAAAAGGTCAAGCTCAAGATTAATGGAGAATGCACAATACATCGAAGCCCAGAAAAACGATCGAAATCAATAGCAGAAAGGTTTCAGGAAGCCCCAGATCGCAAGAGCAGGCAATCAGGGGTAAAGGGCAAATAATAATAATAATAATCCTTGTATTTGATATGTGCCTTATAACTTGTTTGAGATGTCTCAAAGTGCCTCACAAAATATACTGTAAAGAGAATTGACTGTATATTTTGTGGGCGAAACACGGCAGCCAGTTGCACTGTTTGTTCCACAAACAGTCGGAATGGGATGGAAGGGAAGTCCAAGTCAGTGTGTGCCAACTTGGATAGTCCATATATAAACAGAGTTGCTGTCCGTGGTTCTTTCAATTGTGAGAATTTGGAGCTTGGAGAATGACTGCAGCCCACTGAGACAACCCTCAACACCATACTTAACCCATGAGAATTCTGCCCTGTACTCACCAACAATGATAATTTAACGTGATGATGTAAAAAAAAAGGGGGGCTTACCCATTTCCCTTCCTCCCCCTCCTACTCCAGTTGTCACTTGTCACTTTTTACAACACAAATTTGCATTCATACAGTGCCTTTCACATCAGGAGGACGTCCCAAGGTGCTTAACAATCTTTGGCACTGCAGTTGGGATTACTAGAAGCCAACGGGGTGGATTCCTTGGCACTGCCATCAAGGTACGTGTGTATGTGTGTGGTTGGTAAAGATTAGGGGATTAGGGTTTAGGATTAGCGGATCTAATCACAAACAGAAACACTGTTTGTGATTAGATCTACCCCGCAAGAAGGAAATGAAGCCTACACCTAGGCACATCTACACCTAGGCACATGCCATCTATTCGCTAAGTGTTAGCAAATTATGTACCTGTCCTGATCAGCTACAGTTCAGGTGCGTACAAGCAGGAATCTGCTCCTGTCGCTTATTGCCAGTCACCATGAGGGTGGACTGTCTTTACGGAGCATATTCAGGAATGCGATGGGGGAAAGAGATATTGGATAGGAAGAACAAATAGAAATGATAGATATGGTAATTTAACTGTCTCCAGCATCCTTGAGGTCAGTTTGATATCTCTGGAAAATTTGGCTTCTCAGAGATTTCGGATCAAGTGAGTAGGGGAGAAAAAAAAAGCAACAACAACGACATTTGCATAGCGCCTTTCATGTCAGGAGGACGTCCCAAGGCGCTGAAACCAGCAATACTCTAACCAGAAATATATTTTATTGAAAATTGTTCCATTTAATATTTTTAACTTGAACTTGAAATTTCCCACCCAAATCGCTAATTTACTTTTGATTGATCAGGGCGAAATGTTAGGAAAGTGTTCCGAGACTGCAACCTACAACGAAGGGCGCAAGATAAATGCGAGTTGTTCTTGTTTTTACTGAACTGCCCAATTCTGTATCAAGTGAAGTGGTTCCGAAGCCGCATGAAGTGTGGATTATAATACAGGAACTATTCATAGCTTCGTGTACTCAGACATGGTGTTGTCCTAATTACAGTTCCAACCCAATATCTGAGTACAGTGTTCCAATTGCCTGACCCATTTAACACCTGACCCATATAGATTTTTTTTGCAATCACAGACAGGTGGCTCTATATTTATGGTGTCTTTGCTTTTTCCCATTCATCAACGGGAATCACTCAAGCTAAAAAATGCGGTTTAAAAATGCCCTGTATTGTGATCAGCGTACACTCTGTGCTGAGGAGCAGAATTCACACTTGAATTGTTACGGAGGGATATCGAGAAACCCTGGTATTTCGCACATTCTGATGTATCTATAATGTACCTGTGTATATATGATTATGTATGTATCTTCGATGTATCAGGGTCAGACTCCCAACAAGCGCTCCGGGATGCTACCCCGTGTGAAGGGCGCTATATAAGTGCAAGTTGTTGTTGTTGTTGTTGTATCTATAACAATCCACCTTTTGATGTTGTTCTCCAATTGTTAATTACAAACTTCAAGTGCAATGGAAATGGCATTTCTTTTAAAAAAGAAGCTTTCTGCACATTATGGTAAAAAATATCATCATACTGATGTACTGAGCTATACTCTGTCCCTTATTTAGCATCAGTTGTGCATTTAAGTAAGTGTCTGTATGCTGGTACATCTCTGCATCTTGCGCAATTATTCAGAGCTGCAATATTCGATTATTTTGCTATTTCTGAATGTCGTTAACAAAAAATGTGCGAAGATGGAAAATGAATTGAATAATAGAACCTGTCTTTGCGACACGACTTGGATCCCTGAACTTCTGGACAGCTTGTTCCTAATCTCAGGGAAAGCGTCGGATTGTTATTTTGGACAAATCTCCCTGGTACTAACAGAGTATGACGATTGACATAGCTCAACTGTTGGCCAAATCGGGGGAAGCTTCGAAAATACTAAACGTTTTTTCACTTTTACATTTTTTTTGAGAAAAGCTAATGTGGTGCTCAATGGGTTAAGCGCTGCCTAAAGCTTTCTGGGAAGTACGACTGTACTGTTCGAGGGAACTCCAATCGTGAAGGCGTTTGGCAAATTAATTGCTGACTGGAAGCAAGAGAATTGAGGCATTGTTGATCTGACGCAGGTGATACGATGATCTTTGCATGTGCTTTTAATGTTGCACTGCGATGTGGACATGCAAACAAAAAGTTTACCAGGCCCGCTCGTGCACCCAATGCCCTTTAAAAACCCCGTCAGTGACAGATCTGATAGGAGAGTTTTGTCAACAATTGTTCCATTTATTTCTTGCCCTTGATCAGCAATGCTCCATTCTTTCCTGTGAAGTGCAAGCCTGGATAAAGCTGCGTGTGCGTGTGTGTGCGAGTGTTCGCGTGCACCCACCATTTGCCCCATAATTGAAAAACTACATGTTACACAAAGAACGTCTATTTCTAACTTTTCGAGATGGGTCGTTTTATATTTCGACTGCTTTTTTTTACTGAGTTACTGAGGAGAGAAAGACTTTTGTTTTAAAACGAGCAAGTGTGTCAGCACGCCATAAATCTGCATAGACCTCAAGGTGAACTCATCCAAAAAAAAAAAGCCACGTTTTTAATGAATTAACTCTTCATTTTCTGATGCTTTTTATTTAGTCGTCAAATCTGCTCAGGACGCACAAAACCTTCGTACGGAATTACAACTCAATCCACCATAATGGAGAATGGGCCGAAGGGCCTTCTTCAATCAGACCAA